GAATGCCGCGGTTCGCCGATCCGTTTCAAGAATCGGACTTCTGTTCCGCGACTTCGGGGAACGATCCAATCTTCCCCGCGGTTGCTGCCCGGCAACCGGGAATTCCTCCCGGCGGAAGTCGCGGCGGGCCGAGATCTTTCTTTGCCGATGGAATCCCGCGGTCTGGTGCTCCTATACAAATGGGATCCGCCGGCGAGAGGCGCAAAACGCTGATGGTTTTCTGTGGATTTTGAGGAGCGCGGGATGACGTCTGCGGATCGGCAGAGAGTACCGCTGGCTTTCGCTGCGGTACTCGCGTGACTTGAGTGTTGAGGAAATGAAGAGGAATCTAAGATACCTAGTGCAAAAATTGTTTAGAACAGAAATTTTTTAATTTTTATTCTCAGCGGAAATGAAAAGAAATCTAAGATACCTAATATGAATATTATCTAGAACAGAATTTTTTAAATTTTTATTGTCATTGGAAATGAAAAAAAATATAATATACCCAGTATGAAAATGACTGAAAATAGAATTTTGTCATTCTTATTTTCACTGAAACTGAAAAGAAATCTAAGATACTGAGAATCTAAATTATTTACTTGGAAATAATTTCTTAAATATCACCTGTACGATGTTTCTTTCATTTCGAAGGAATAATTGCTAATAAATATTTCGTTCTCGAGTGATATTTAACATCGAAATCTTCCACTCCTTTTCATATCGCCCACGTATTGCACCGTGATTAACGTGAGAGGCGCGACTATCGTAGTCACTGGGAAACGAGAGTTTACGCGTTCCCCGGGGACATCCAACTGCGGACAAACTTACGAGACGGCCATTGGATAAGGAACATTTCAATTACCAGGAGGAAATGGTTTCCCCAGGTGCCACGGTTACGATATTGCCCAGCGTGCAGCATCAAACTTCCAATAATACGAATCTTACTCCGATCCGGAGGGCTTCCGCCGACTGTATTCCGGGGACAGATACCAACAGATAACCTGCGTCCGATTATCAAAGATAGCTCCGCTCCGGGTAACCCGAGAATTTGATAAAACGAAACTATTTCGTTGTCCCGTACCTATTCCGTTGACACGGTCAACATTTACTCGACAAACACCTCGTAAACAAGTTTCTCATACAGTACGAAGGTACCGGCAACGTCAAATAACTACTAAATAATCTTCCTCGAGAAGAACAATCCAATATCTACAACCCGGAATCGATAACGATAACAGTAAAAATATCTTCGAATAGCTGTGTCAATCTCAAACACTCGGAAAATATTTTTAGACAAATATTAAGTAACAGGATTTTCAATTTATGTTCTCCAATATATTACTATGTAGACTGAAAGGAAATTAAAGGAACAATTCTAATTTGCAAATAACTTTGGAAAACTTCAGAAACGAAAACAAATATTTGAGTGCTGAGTGCTATAATGCTTCTTATCAGTATCGATTCGAATTTTCTTACTACGTTCTTCGAGAAGTAAATCAAAGTAAATTTATTTGAATAAAAGTTACTTTCTGATATTTCCTTTGTAACAACACAATATCTGTGATCTAATTAGACGACTACTCCCATTAACTCTTCTTCATACACCCAATCACTCCCTCATTTTCAGTATATACCCACAAAATGTTACTTTTTAATATTTCTTTGGTAATAAAGCAATATCTGTGATCTAATTAGACTACTCTCATTAACTCTTCTTCATACACCCAATCAATCCTTCATTTTTAGTACATACCAAAAAAATCTGTTTATCATTCAAACAATCGAACCATACTTCGCACAGCTTAAAGAAGCTCGCACAAAATCGTAAGAACTTTTCACACTATAATTGGAAGACAGAAGCAAATAGGACGCCCGATAGGTCCGCGGTCTTCCCGATTGTCAATTAATCCCGCGGAAGTTGCGCGACAACTTCGCGACGATTTTTCCGCGGCAGAGGACAATGTAAGTTTGATCGCGGAAGCGCGTTAGGGAACTCCGGCAATTTACAGCGGCTCGAAACTTCTAAATCCCGGGAGGAGCTAATCCGCTTAGCCCCTTTTCTATCTTGCCGCGGCGCTGCTCTTGCGGGCCGCGGGTTTCGCGGCTGAAAAACGGTGTCTTACAAAGGCAGCTCGATAACTGAAACGGGAATTACTGGAAGCCGTCGTCTCGCCGACGAAAGCCTGTCCCCGTCAGTCGGGCAACGTTCCCAGCGGCCTGTTCATCCTCGGCGAATGTCTTCGTGACATCGCCGGGACAGGCTGATCTCGGCGAGCGACGGGCAAATAGAATTATCTTCCGTTTCTACCTTTAATCTAGATCGTGGACAGTGATCCGAACGTTTGTTAGATTCCCAGGTCACCGTACGTCATGTCCGCACGATTTTTTCAACGTCATTGCAAAAGTTACGGTTGGTATTTCAACCCTTCGCGGACGAGTGTCGACATTTCGGCGAGATGAAACGCTCATATTTGGAAGACTGTGTCGCGGACAAATGATTCTATTACTCGGACAGCAAGAGATTAGAATGTAGTTTCTGTTCTTTCTGTTGTTTAAGCAATTGGCATGTAATTTAGCTTCGTCCGTTGAAGGTTTTACATTTCGGAGAACCTTCGTCCGCAAAGGGTTAAGCTGAAGCCTCTTTTTGGGAGTTCCATCGGTGACTGACGCGGCGTTTAACGTGTGTCAAAAACATTTCTAAAATGTTTGTACTCCTTTGTAACCCAATCCTCGGCCGAAAGCCGATTTCGAAGGAATCTTATCTCGCGGATCAGACGGAGAGACAGACAAAGCAGGCTTGGCGCTTAACGTTCTAAAATTATATCTATTTCTTCACAGTGCATTAATTAAAGTAAATGGCATTGATACAAACATGTTCCAATATCACAAAATTAAAATAAATAACGGCCGGAGTACCCAGAAAGGGTTAACTCTCGGAGTACATTTGCATTTTTCCTATTTTTGCGGCTCAATATTTTTACTGTCCGCGAACGCGATAATAACCATGCATCGAAAACTAAGGTGGCTCGAACAGTGCGAACGGAAGAGTCTTGCTCGGTCCTGACCGCTCGCGGATAGCACGTCATCTCGTCAGAGCGAGGCTATATCCGAGAACGCGAAGTAAACGATGTCAACGCTTCATCCGACAAGTGATATAAAGTTTGCATAGTACAGTAGGAGATTTATCTCGCGGAAGACGTGGATGCTGTTGAACGTGTAGTAAATAGCGATATTTCAGTGAAATTACAGTAGAAGGTATTGTTAGCAGCGGGAGTCCAGGATTAGGATAGGTTGAAGTTTCGTGGAAGATGTAGGAATATTGAATGTTTGTCGAATCAGTGTTGTAAGGATGTATGAACGTTAGTAGTAGTGGTCAGCGTGTTCTCAGACGTGTACAGTAGAGATGTATGGGAATTAGACAGTGGAATCAGTGAGCCATTAATCAGACGAGTATCCAAAGCGTGAGGATGCAACGAGGTTTCCAGGAAGTTTCTAGTCAGAGGACTGTTCGAAGACTTAGTAAGATATAATTAGAAATCCTGAGTGGCTAGTTTGTAACATAGGCAATGTCGATTACAAATACTATCTTCCTTCGATCGACTATTAATATTTCCTACTTATACATTTGTTCTTTACGTTTACGAAAATGTAAAACTGTTCATATACTCGCAGCAGTGTGGATCATAATTTTTATATTAAATAATATATCTTTTAAACAGTATGTTCTATATATATTCCGCAATATTTCTTTTGATGGAAATGTTTCTGTCAACTACTGTACCGACACTTTTCCGTAACCAGTCAAATAAAGTAAAATCAAGAGAAACAAGCTAGACGATGAGTGTTTTCTACTGAAAACAGACACAAAAGGAAAGGCGAGAATTGAAGAACTGAAGAATCAGACAATATAGGAATTGATATTAACATTAACATTAACAGTAACAATTGTTATTAACTACCGTACTAATCAAAATGACTGGTTTCGGTTTGATCTACACAGATGTAATTGAAAATCTTTCGCAAAAACGCGTTCACAATTTATATACTTGCAAAATCAAAATTCTGAGATGGGTCAATTTCTCCCATCCGGTAGTTTTAGTGTTAAAAGATACGGAGCCGCGGAAAAAAAATTTATTTAGAGAGGCGTAGTAGCATAAAGGTTGGAAACCGCTGCTCTAAAATGTAATAGTTGATAACAGAGGAATAATACATAGTTTGAATTCGAACAGATTGAATAATAATGTTTGTTAAGTTCTATTTGAAATCTTCACCACGATATTATAGGGCAAGGGGTTAAAATCTTAGGAATAATACATAGTTTTGAACAGATTGAATAATATTAATGTTTGTTAAATTCTATTTGAAATCTTCACCACGATGTTATAGAGAAGGGGTTAAACTGTTCAGCACGAGTCTGAACCGATATTATAAGGCAAGGGATTAAAATCTTAGGAATAATACATAGTTTTGAACAGATTCAATAATATTAATGTTTTTTAAATTCTATTTGAAACCTTCACCACGATATTATAGGGGAAGGGGTTAAAATGTTCAGCACCGAACATTTCATTCTGAACCGATATTATGAGGCGAGGCGACAATTTCCGGAGGCATCGGAATTATTGGTGCCGAATTCAGTCGGCTGAATTGATTGTCCCATATGAGGCACTTATGTTAATTGCTTACCTAAGCCCAGGCACGGCGGTGACCGATCTCTGATCCGGGCTGGTTATCCAGGTGACGTGCGGCGTCGGACTCCCATGGGCGGAGCAGCTTAGCTGGGAGCCGGTGGTGTTCGAGAAGACCAAGGTGCTCGGCGGCTCGAGAACGAACACCGGTCCTTGCTGGCCAACGACGCTGTCCAAAATGTACGCTGGAACGCAAACGTGGCAGGTCTGTCAGTCGATTCTCGAAGACAATCATTTTTCCATTAATCTACATGAAATCTTCGTCTCGCCCGGATCCCATTCGCCCGGCGCATTACCATAAAGTTCCCGAACGTATAACCGCGGACATTTGCATTTCATAATTCCATCATTCGAAGGTGAACGATATTAACCCTTCGCGATCGGTGCCGTCAATATGGCGACGTTTAAACTGTTGCACTCGACAATTATTTCATTACAAGCATTCGTTAGTTTCTGACTAAATATTCACGATATTTTTCGCGAGTAATACGATTAATTGTCTTGTGTAAATTAGGGGTCGGAAATGTTTTATTTCGATGTTTTATGTGTTGGTACGTTACACAAGGTTCAATATTGAATTTGAGATTTTATAATTTGAGAAAATGACGACTGAAAGGCTCTCGAGTTAATTGCCTTGTGTGAATTAAGGGATAGAACTACTTTATTTCGATGTTTTATGTGTTGGTATGTTACATAAGGTTCAATATTGAATTTATGATTTTATAAGTTGAAAAAATGGCGACTGAAACGCTCTCGAGGTAATTGTCTTGTGTGAATTAAGGGATAGAACTACTTTATTTCGATGTTTTATGTGTTGGTATGTTACATAAGGTTCAATATTGAATTTATGATTTTATAAGTTGAAAAAATGGCGACTGAAAGGCTCTCGAGTTAATTGTCTTGTGTGAATTAAGGGATAGAACTACTTTATTTCGATGTTTTATGTGTTGGTACGTTACAGAAGGTTTAATATTGAATTTGAAATTTTATAATTTGAAAAAATGGCGACTGAAAGGCTCTCGAGTGCAAACGGTTAGTATTTGTTTTCGAAATCATTCTTTTTTTTCTTAGTGTTATTTTACGATCGAGAGGTATTGCATTTATTATTCTTTACAGAATTTATATTCGACAAAACACATTAACTTTAACAAATTTTTGGTACCCATATGTTTATTATAAACCACCTATAAAAAATAACTTTGAAAATATATGTGTTTACTTCCACTAGTTGGCATTGTCGCCAGAAAAATGTGCCGATCGTAAAGGGTCAATGGACCACGGGGTAGCTGGAAATACAACGGAGGCCTCGCGTTATCTGTCAATCATTGTGTTTCGAAATATTCATGGATCTCCTGGATTTTCTGGATTAGTAAATCCGGATTTGATTAATCTGCTCTGTGGATTGACGGTGCATGGGATAGATATTTTAAGACATCGGCGATTTAGAAGTGGAGATATTCTTGTGTGTTGAATCATAGATGAAGCTAGTGTTTAATTAAAACTACCGTAATTAAAACAATCCGTTATTCAAACTGTCTTATCAATATTAATATATTAATATTTTTCCAAATGATGTGACAATTATAGTTAATATTATAGAAAAGGAGAACGAAGCTTTGTGATTAGATAACAGCACATTCGAATTCTCGAATTCCTTTGAAATCGAACATTTGCAATATTCACTTCTCATACACTGATTTCCCTTAATACCATCAAACAGCTTCTACACCTATTACTGTTTCCAATATAATTACAATAACATAACTTCTATTCCATCTTCCCATTCCATTTTCTGATACGAACATCATTATTCCAATAACATAAAAACTTCTATTCCATATTCCCATTTCCCGAAGCGAATTCACAATACTCCCTCGAACACCGTAACACAAGCGTCACGCCGAACGCAACAATAAAACTTCAAAGTCAATGACTACAGAAAAGAAGAACGAACTTTGTAATTATAATAGATAACAGTACATTCGGATTCTCGAATTCCTTTGAAATCGATCATTTGCAATATTCACTTCTCATACACTGATTTCCCTTAACTACTTAGTTCGTAGAACCAGACGAAGCTTATTTATTCCTTTCCATTCTAATTATTCGTTTTTATTTTTCTCATTACCCGGGAATGAAACTGAAAGAACGCAACGATCGCGCCATTCAAAATCTGTTTTTCCAAAAACAGAAAAGCGTCATTCAGTTTCCAAATTGAAAGGAAAAGCGCGATCGCGCCGCTCGGCGTTTTTCTACCGGGCTCTCGCAAAATCCGTCAAAGGGTTAATATCATCAAACAGCTTCCACAGCTATTACTATTTCCAATTTAATCGCAACAACGTGAAAGCTTCTATTCCATCTTCCCATTTCCCGAAACTAATACCCATTCACAATACTCCCTCGGACGCCGTAACACAAGCGTCACGCCGAACGCGACAATAAAACTTCAAAGCCAATGACACTCGCTCTCTCCGCGATGCGAAAAACAAGGTCGCATTCCTTCCATTGTCGGGCGCTCCGCGAAGTAAGAACCGGAATTCTCGGTACGGGAACGGTATCAATCGAAATCGTTTCATGCGCCGCGCGGGACTCGCGTCAAGCGGTTTGACAATGAACGCTTTGATATTGCATGCGGGTATCGCGTTTTGCGTTCGCGGACTGGGAACGCCGGGATACGGTGAAAAGAAGAAGAAGAGAGAGAGACAGAGAGAGAGAGAGAGAGAGAGAGAGAGGGTGGGAAGGGGGAGACGGATTGTCACACAGTCCAGTGCACGCGCACTACAACAATAATTCAGAAACCGGAGAAATCAATTCCGGTAAGCCGAATTCGACCTACATTCCGCATCGATTCGACACTACGGGCCGGCCTGCGATTAAACGGCCTGGGAACGAACGACCGCGTCACCGGCCCTGCTGAAATATTTAATTCGAAATCCGGGGGATTTAAAAAAAGCGCCCGGCGAGACCGGCTCCTCGATTTATAGGGAAATCATTCTCTCGTTCCCGCGGAACGATCGACGCGTTTTTTGTAGGCGGCTCAGGCTTACCGTTTCGTTCGGATCCGGATGGTTTTTTATTGAGTGCCGAGCGCCCGTGCGGCTAATAAATAAAGTTCTTGGGATTCTCGTGTCATTATCGATGCTCGCGTGCGTGTAACCGAGTCTTTCGATTTACTGACGTTTACTGTAGTTTGTTCTATTCTTAGATGAATTGTTATCTGTTCATTTTGATCTTGGAAATTAGAGGTTTAAGAGTAGATTGTAGGCTAGGAAATCGACGTAAATATTTAACAAATGCTTATGAAATTCAATGTGAATCAAATCGACTCGTTCTGTAAATTTGATGTTGATGTTGAGGTTTGTGATTGTTTTTAGTGGTGATTGTCGCGATTTAATGGTTGATTGTTGGCTTGTGAGTTTTGATTAGTAACAGTTAAAAATGAAGATGAAAGTATCAGTAGTTGAATATTATATTATAAATATCAATAATCAAAAATTGTAAGTAACGAAAATTAGACATTAAAACTATCGATACTAAACAATTAGAATTTTTCAGTTTCGTTTTTAATTACAAATATTCGAAAGGAATGTTAGAATGTTATATAAAATCAGCGTTGCGATAGGGGAACAGTTGGAGTTGTTATTTTTAAGAATTTTGCGGTATATTTTAGTTCCGGGATTAGTTTGTGGATATAAGTGACAGCGTGAATTGCTGGAAATGGAGAAAGCTTGTACAGTGCTGGATAAGTAGTATAAATATGTATGTTGACAGACAGGTGATCTTATTCCATGCCGCAGATCCATTCTCTTCAAATAGAATTATCTTCTATTAATCTGAGAAGATTGCATGGATTGTAAAATGTCGTTTGCAGATGAACAAGTGGAATAAATATGTTGTGGCCAGACGGTTAAGTAAAATTGGCATAGAGCCAGGTAAGTGGAATAAGTTTTATATAGACCAGTCGTGTGGGATAAGCTCGTATGCTGTCCAGATAACGATACACGTAACCAGTGTATAATTAACACTAAAACTACCGAGCAATTAGAGTGACTTATTTCTAATTTCTCATAAAAATTAGAACACGTTTCGTAATTTGAAATCTCTCACAGAAACGCCTCGGTAATTTAAATACTTGCAAAATAAAAATTCTGAAGTGAATCAATATCACTCATTCGGTAATTTTGGCGTTAAACAGACTGTTTTGTATACGATCAATAGAATAAATTAGTACCAGTGAAGTCAATGTCAATTTTAATATCGACCAAACATTACTTAATCTCTTCATTTTTAGTATTCCTTATAACTGCAGACGTTCTTGGATTATACAATGGAATCTCTAAAGTACTAAACAGAACTTTTGTAATTAAAACTCTGGGCCAACTGGAACGTCTATAACTAGAGTTTTAGAAAAAGTAAACTTTTAGGGATTAGTATCTGAGATGCTTGTAAGGCCTTTTTTGGAAGAGTGTAGTTTCGCGAGTTGAGGGGAACGGGACAGAGTGGACTGGCGTGGAAAGTAGTTTTGCGAGTCGAAAGGGGCAGGTCAGAGTGGACTAGCGTAGATAATGCAGTTTTGCGAGTTGAGAGGAACGGGACAGATTAAACTAGCGTGAAAAGAGTGGTTTTGCGAGTTGAATGGAGCAGATCAGAGTGGACTAGCGTGAAAAGAGTGGTTTTGCGAG